GCGACATACTGAATGTCGAAGAAAAGTCGGTTTTTAGCCATTTTTGCAAAATGTGACCGATTTTCTTGGGTATCAAATATCTCGATAAAAAAACATCTGTTTTAAGTGAAAATTTCAGGACGTGTGAAGCATTATGAAATCTATCTAAGGGCAGATTCTCAAACCAAAATTCTTATCTTTTGGATTTTTATGAGGGCACCGATTTCTACAAAAGGACATGGGGTAGTCCTGGAAGAAGACCAAGATTGTTATTTTTTACTATAGTACGAGTATGCTGAGGGCCCATAATCTATATGTTTGTGGTTAGCTTCCTCCTGCCACAAGCAGAACTCCCTTCGGCTTTTAAGGGTTAATGTATTATTATTAAATAAGTGCTTAGATTCCTTATTTGAAACTGAAACATTGGGTGACAATCGCCAGTGGTTCTGTCAACACTGTCAACGTCTCACAAATGCGAAAAAGAAATTGATTTGTGGACTTTGCCAAAAGTACTTATTTTACAGCTGAAAAGATTTACTTACGATATTAAATCAATTGAGAAAAAATCTACCTTTGTTAACTATCCTTTAGATAACTTGAATCTGAGTCAGTATATTCATTAGAAATCACAAAATACTACTAGAAAAATTCTCTATAATTTAGTAGCCGTTTCTAATCATCACGGAAGAAGTTAATTTGTGGTCATTACACCACGTATGCTAGAAATTATTTTACACAAAAATGGTATCGATTTAACGATAAATGGGTAGATGAGATTGATCATACCGAAGATATTGTGAATAAAGATGCTTACATACTAGTGTACATTCGACAGAATTTGTACTTTAAAACACGTGTCGCCGTCGAACATCAACTGTAATTTTTTAGAATTTTTCTATACCCTGCTAAAATAAATATTCATATTCCAGCTTAAGTAACTTGCAGGCGATTCATATTGGATGAGACAAACTCAATTTAGCTCAGCTAATTAGAAAATGTAGTTCTATAGACAATTGTTCTCAAGTTTTCCGAAAAAACATGTTTTATTAGATACAATATATTTCAAGCGCTATAATAATCGTGATTAAATACTGGGTTTTAAAGTACGGGCTAGGTTAGGTAACGATGGACAGTTTTTTCACTGATTGTGGCAGTGTTTATGAGCTAACAATTCTTGGAAACATTGTATAATGCTGACGTTTAACATCTTTACATTTTTTCATATAATCACGTGGATCTTTACTGCACTGATCTTCTGTTTCCAAACAGATAAAACAGAAACGATGTTTACAAAAACCACACTGATGATATTTACATTTTGCATCATAGCCACCGATGTATAAAACATTTTGGACAGCAACGACGACTTGGAACGTGTAACTGCGAATTCATGGCCAGCGGAACAAGATCATAACCCAATTTTGTTTCATAGACACAGTGATTATGACATGTAAACTGATCATTTTTCATTTCTTCCTCTTTCCAATCTTTATTGCAGAAGAAACAGAACCAACGTTTACACTGTTCACATTTCTGTTTTGAATACATTGTTTCGTTAACCATCAGTACACCACAGTGACATATTTGACAATCAATATGTTTCATTAAATCACGTACTTCATCCAGTGCATACAATGATCGTATAAAATCTTGTGTTTTAAAGAATTGTTCATACGGTAGAAATTCGTTTGTACTCTTACTGTTACGACAGACCATACATTTTAGACGAAGATCAGATGTTTTAAAATAATTTGTAAAACATTCTATACAAATTTTATTACAGCACAATTTCATACACGGTTTACTATCAAGACAGATGATACAATCATCCAGTTGTTTTGGTAGTTTTAATAGTTCCTGGGAGAGCTCATTAATAACAATATCAATCAGAATTGACATTTCAATGTAGCCACCACCTTGCATACGACGTAACAGAAATATTGTCACACCATTTTTAATCAGCTGTTTACGTTTATTAAATTCTGTTTCATTATCTAAACATAAATCTTTATTATTTGCAATAAAACGATAATGTTCAGTTGCATTCGGTTCAATTTTATCTGCAATCAATGCGTTGAAATCAACTAATGTAAAATCGTTTTTTAATTGTGTTTGTATTGTTTTACCCACGACATTTGTAAATGAAACGTTAAGAACCATTTTTATATTAAGAAGAAAAAAGATTTAAAAAGCTTTTTGGATACTTAGTTGAGTGATTACAATGAATGAGCCGATGATAAGATACACAAGAGGTAGTTAAATATCTTTTCTAATGGGTTTTTTTTCACTTTTTTTTCTGTGTATAAACCAACTTCCTTCTTTCTTTTCTCTCTTCCTTCTGTTGTATTGCGCACTCTTTTTCTTTTTGTAATAAACATAAAAATATAGATTGAAATATCAACTTTTTATTTTAACAGAAAAGAAAAAAATGGCAAAAGTAAAATATTTTTGTATTCATCATTCTTACCACTGACATAATTTGAAAAAGAGAAAGGAAGAAGAATGTAGCCTCACATATTGCAGTTATATTTAGGTATATGACGGACCGAACAACCAACTCGGGCAAGTTCGAATCGGACACTGTTTGACTCGAACACCGTTTGATTCATACACTGTTTGACTCGCACATTAACCAATTCGGACATGTTCGAACAGAACATTCAAACACTGTTCGACTTTTTTCATTTCTGTTAAGTGTCTGCTTACGAGGGAACCGCCCCAGGTGTCCGGCTCCGCTTTCGTTCGTTCATACATCGTTCGATAGAGGACATCGAGTAGGCAAAAAGGCTAAAAGGATTTGGGCGGAGGGCCCTTTAAGACCCGGTTTTCTGGAAAACCAGTTTTTCAGAAACTCTAAAAAGATA